TTTCTGACCTTTTTTTTCCCCCAAAAAATCCCAGTGGGATTGAATTTGGATCTGCCCAACTCTGCATCGCTGTTTTTGGGTCTTGAGGTTTTCCCAGTTTTGTGCCAGAGCTTTTTAGCTCTGCTGCTTGGCTCTTCTTGGGAGTGATGCTTCCCTGGGCTCTCCCATACCCCAGGGAAGTGCCCTGTCCCTGGGGCTGCTTCTGGTGAGGGATGGCAAAATATTCTCTATTTGTGGTGGAGCTTTAACCCCTGGACAGATTTAAGGCACATCACCTGGGGAATTTTGGGGTGTTCATATGTCTGGACATAAATTGTTAGCAGCAAAAAGTCACCATGGCTTGGTTGTCCAGAAGGGCAGGAGAGTTCTTGCTCTTGAAGCAAGGCAAGGGAGGGTGGGGAAGGAAAGACCAGGCACCCCAGGACAACATTTGAATTATATTTGCAAGGTATCCCTTCAGTTCAGCTGTCACTCAGTGACCTGCGCAGGATTTTGAGTTCAGAAACTGCAATTGCTCCAATTTTGCTTCTTTTCCATTCAACCTGCCCTTCCTAAACTCCCCACGTGTCAGGGTGCAGCACTGGTAACTGGGTTCTTTAGGACTGAGAGTGATGAGACAGAGGCTGTCTTCTCGTGTTCAGACTTGGCTGTTTATTCTTCTCTTATCTATATTACATATATACAGGGTACAAGGAGCTCCATTCACTAAGATAGGTGCAAAATGGCTAACAAAGGACTTCTTCAAGGTCTTTTATATGTCTATTTATCCAATTAACAAATGCCAAGTAAATTATTTTTCTTAGTGACCCAATGACCCGACACCTGTGTGCTGCACTGTGTCATTTTCTATCCAATCACTCATTATTTCCCAAAAATCCCTAGAAGAAGGAGATGAAGAAGGAAGAAGAAGGAGAAAGGGACAACACCCTAAGTCCTCCATCTTGTCTCTTATTTTTTAGAAGAGCTTAAACCCTGAACTCTAACTTTCTCACCTAGTGACTTAAGGAAACTCTCTCACACACTCCCATTCCCAGTTTTTCTGTTTAACATCTGTCTCCATGGTGTTGTGTGAAATTTCTTGGATGTCAGAGCCAGGTATCATAGACAAGGGCACATCTCCTGTGCCTCTGACTCCGACACCCAGCGTGCTCCCAGCTGTTTTTTCCAGCAGGAAAGTCACTCTTTGCCACCACAAAGAAGTGATCCCACTTCCAGCTGCTGCTTGGAGTAGGGGTGTATGTTTTGACCTGGGAAGGTGGGGAAGAAAATCCACGTGGTGCTGCCTAAAGCACCCTTGCCAAAGCCTGGCAGGGTTCTTGCTGACAGCTCTGTGCAAACACTTTATCCCCTGCCATCCTGAACCCGAGCAAAAGGGACTTTGGCCATTCTCTGTTAAATAAACGTTATGTAAGAGGCCTCTTCATTGCTGTGAAGGCTCTGGGGGCTGAGAGAGCTCTGAGGGCCCCTCACACCCAAGATCTCAGGCTCTGGGGAGCAGCTCAGCTCTGTGCAAGCCCCCTGCTGATGCTGAGATGATGATTGCTCCAATTTTTTGCTCAGGACCTGGCCAGGGCTGAGCAAACAGGCTGGAATCAAGGCTTCTGTCCTGCAGGGATGAGCGAGGCTGTGACGCTGGGGCCCATCATTACAGCTCATCCACTGTGGCTTCTCAGGAAAAAAGGGATTTTTGCCCCCTAGAACAAGGTGGGGGGAAAAGGCTTGTGATACAGCCAGTTTCAGGAATCCTTCCAGGCCTTCTAATTTAAAAAAAACAAAAAAGGGATTTTCAGTCTCTTCATTGCCTATCAGAAAAAGTTTTGTTTCAGAAGGTTTACAGAGAAGATTGTGGCCTGAGCATTTTAAGAGAAGAGTTTAGTTTTACCCAGCCCCAGCTTGGATGGTTTGCAGAAATGGAGCTCTCCAAGACACCGGGAAATGCTGGTTTTAAAGTGAAATCTGGGTGCTGTAGGAAAGGGCCACTTCCCTGAAATGATCTGGTCTAGCTCAGGAGGGATGAGAAACTGAAAAATGAGGAGAGGAAAGGGAAGCAAATGCTTAATGGGTTTATATTTCAAAGCAAATTTTCTTAATTTATTTTATTTTTCCTGTGTGGAGGTAGTTTGAATCCTCTTTCTTAATGATTTGGAATCACAAGGTTCACTGATGAAGGAAATGCACATTTGGCCATCTGTGTTGAGTGGTTTCCCTTCTGTCAGCTTTTTCCTGATTCCTTCAGTGGATCCATTAATCCCAAGAGGGTTTAAACACTTTTCCTGCTGAAGATGAAATGCCTGTGCTGTTTGCAGCCCCTGGATGTGCCTGGGGAGGTCACAGAGCGCAGTCCTGTGGTAGCAGTGATGGGGAGGAGCCTTTTTTCAGGAGGATCAAGGTTGTAAAGAAAAAATCGCTTTCTTTAGACTCATTTGGCACAGAATGGCACGGGGAAGAAGCTGGAGGACTCCTGGTCTTGGGAAGGAGGGTGGTCTGTGGGAACTTTTCACCTTCCTCACATTTCCACATGCAGGGAGGCATTCAGAGGGATTTACCAAGCCCTTAGCAGTTAAGCTGAGGTCTTTGCAGCCCAAAAGTGCCTTTTCTGCACCAAAAAGCTCCTTCTTCCTTCTGTAGTTCTGGGCCTGGACAGGGCCACATCACCTGGGGGAGATGGGGAGCTGTGGGTCCCCAAAACCTCAACAGGAAAATAACTTAAAATACTCCCCAAGGCATGTTTTGAGCTGTCATCAGTCTCCCTTTTCCTCCTCCAGCCCCAGCCACAGGTGGTTACAGAGCCACTTTCCCTCAGCTATTTTCATTTTGTGGGGTGAGGTTGGCAGGATGCTCTGTCACTGTAACAATTCCTTAAAACTCCATCTCTCAGCTTTTCCTGATGCTCCAGCAGGTGTATCACCTGCAGGAAAAGCTCTTTCCCAACCTGTTCCTGCCTCATCCCCTTCCCAGCAGCTCTCCCACGCCAGCAGAGCAACCCCTCCGTGGTTTTGTGTGTCCTCTTCAGTTCCCCCCGAGGCCTTTGGGACCCGAACATTCCCAGGAGCACAGCGGTGTCTGGGAATATCTGCCAGCCCACACGGCACAGCAGGCTGTTCCCAGGGCCAGCAGGTTCCTTGGGAATTGCAGCCAGGAGATAAGGTATCAGTAAATCGTGTTTCTCCCCATCAGCCAGTCCAAAAATCACGGAGCCAAAGGGCAACGCTGAACGTGACCTTGAGGCGCTGACGCAGACATTGCCTGGAATGTTAACCCTTGGATCAGGGATGCGCCACGGGAAAGGTGATGAAAAGCTGAACCTCCTGAGAGGGGAGGCAAAATGCCAGAGGTGCTCCCAGCTCTTAATTCCCACCACAATTCTGGAGGAAGGAAGGGCCACAGCTGGTTGGATCTTCCCACTGCACCAACATCTGAGGGTGTGAGAGGTCCTGGCATTTTGGGGAGGAGCAAAGTGCCAAAACCCTTTGGATAAAGTGTATCTGAGCAGATGGAGAATTTATCTAGGCCTATCTGAGACTTGAAAAAAACTGTTTTTTAACAAATAAAGTTTTTGCCAAATAGAAATGCATTAATGAGAAGTATTTTACATTTAAAGTACAATTGTGTTTCCAAGTTCTTCTAGTAGAGCATGGAAACCCTGAGCACTGAAGTTCCATGAGAATCAGGACTGGAAGCAGCCACCATTCCACAGGCTGGACAAGCTGTGATGAGGCAGAAGAGGAAAAAACATCCCATTCCCAAATTCCTCGGGCACCAGAACCGAGCAGCGCAGTCCTGGAAAAATGACTTTGGGAGAGGGAGGTGCTGTCTGCAGCTTCACATAAACACACAGGGGGGAAAACCTTCCATCACCTCCTTGTGGGATTCAAATTATTGATTGGTTTCTCCTTATCTTGTGCCACGCTTGACTCACGGCGTTACTCAGCAAGAATTTTCCAGCTGAACTTTCCAGCTTGGAGCAGGTCTGGAGCTGGGAGCCACTGGGACGGGTGAGGGAGCTCAGGTAATCCCGCTGGAGATTCCCCTGGGATCCCGTAGGATCGGTGTTTGTATCTCCCAGTGGCTTTGGGGCAGTTTTGTCAGAGGGATGATGAGAAGTGCCAGGCTGATGTGTTTTGGGCTGGTGCTGGGATAGCTCTGGACAGCTGGGAGTGCCTGGCAGCCAGTGCCACGCTCAGGGAATAAAGAGGGCAGGGTGGGAACCTGTGGCATTTGATTTGTTGTCACTAAAATATTTGCTCTGTGAAGTTCAGCCCTGACCATGAGTGCTGTAGCGAAAGCAGCTGATAAGAGAGGTCACCTGGAGCAAGTCTAAGTGACCACTTAGATGCTGATTTCTCACTGCAGCATTTTCAGGACCACAAGTGCTCATTCCAGCAGTTGTTTCCTGCGGGTTCATTGTTTCCAGGGCACGTTCCCTGTGAGGAATAACCTGGAGGCAGGAGCTTTACCAGAGCTGGAGAATGTTACCGCCAGGAAAATCAGATGCTCTGCCTCATTCTTCCCTTTCTAATCACAGAATAATCCCAGACTCACAGACTGGTGTGGGTTGGGAGGGACCTTGAAGAGGAGATTCCTAAATTGATGTTTATTGTGGTGACAATATTATCTCCTGACTTGCTCTGAGCTTCAGCATCTCCTCCAGCCACTCAGAGAACACAGGATCTGGTGGAATATTGTGGGGTTTATTCCCAGATCTCTTCAGAAGGGTGAGCAAAGTGCCTTGGGAAGCGCAGGGTTGGGGGTTTGGGTGCTCTCCCTGCAGCTCCTGTCAGGCCTGGTGTCAGACAGTGATTGCTGCCGGCAGGAGATACTTTTTTGCTGTCTTAAGCTGAAAAATAAATCTCCATTTCCTTCTCTGTGCTGCTGCCATCTCTGACACTGGGGTGGGGGACACAAACAGCTCTCTGGGGGTGGGGTGTGAGCTCTGGGTGGGATGTGCCCCTCACTGGGATGTCCCACGGGCTCCTTTCTGCACCCACAGTGCCCCCACCATGCATGGAAAGAGGTCCAGGTGCTCCTTCTCCCAGCTGGAGGTGATCCTGATCACGTGCCTGGTGCTGATGATCGCCCTGACCGTGGTGCTCCTGGTCCTGCACTTCCTCACCGAAAACAACAATGGCAAGTGGAGCAATCCCAGCCCCTCCAAGCCCTCTGCTCCTGGCAGGGTGCCCAGGGCAGGATTTAAATGAAAGGGGGACAGGTAGAGGTCCCCAGGCCACTGCTGAGCTGCCACCACTGCCCCTGCACGTGGTCCTTTCACCCAGGCACAGCAGCAGGAGCAGGGGGGTCACAGCAGCAGCTCTGGGCATGGATGCATAGCTCCAGGGATGGGGTGAGGTTGGCTGCCAGCATCCATCCCTTCCTTTCATCCTCCCTTCCCTCTCTCTGCCTGCTGCAGAGGGTCCTGAGAGCCCCTCACTCCCAGGATTTGTTTTACAACCCCATCCCAGCCCACTGATGCCTCCAACCCCATCCCACAGGGCACAAGGGAGCTGTACTTAACATCTCAGCAGTGAGACCTTCCATCTTCTAGATTTTGGTCTCAAATTGGATGTAGTTCACCTTTAGGACTCAAAACTTCATGTTTTTAAGCTGTAACACATCAGAGTTTTGCACAAGTGATTCTCCTCTGTGTCAGAGCTCAAGGAGGAGGAGAAGGAGGAAGGGTAGTTCTAAGGGGGTGGCCCAGTTGGCTGGTATAATTTTAAATGACAGAAATGGCATCAGTCTGTGGCCAGTGTGAGTGTTTCCGTTCTGTGTTCCAAGTGACAGCCCAGGAAAGGCCAGGCTGGGAAGACAGAGCATCCCCTCATCCCAAAGCCCTGCCTTGGGCAGCAGCAGCTGTGGGAACAGAGCAAGCACACAGAAATATTTCATATTTTCCCACTGTATTATCTCAGGCTGCAGTGATTTGTGGCTCTGGGAACTCCTGAGATGCAGATGACCTTTCTGATTGATTATGATTTGATAGCCCTCTATGACTTTTCTTCCACGGGTTTGTCCATCCTGGAAGGATTTCTGCACCTTCCCGGTGGCTGGGGTGAGACACCACCTCCTCTGGGAGAACCTTTCCTCACCATTTGGCTGGAGATCACTGCTCAGAACTGCTATTCCCTTCTCTGAGCTTCAGCTGGCTCTGCTGTGATATTTTTGGGGGGAGGACCAGGGCACCAGCACAAGTGTTGGATGTGCCCTTCTCTCTTCCCTAGTCCTTTCCCAGTAGCTCCTGACACGCCATCCCTTTTGTCTTATCCCTGCTGAGCTGAATTGTCTTTGGGAAACAGCACTTGGATCTGGCTCCTGCGTGGTACTGGTGGGCTTGGAGGGTTTAACTGGGAACTCTGGGCTGTTCCCCCTCGCCGTGCATCACCACCCATCTGACACAGCCCAGTGACCCCTCTGGAGAGCTCCCCGGGTGGTTCCTCATTCCTGCTCCACCCAGAGGTCTTCACAGCCTGGGCACATTGACAGCCCACTGGAAATCCACTCAGAGCACTCAGCCAGAGCTCTTTGGCCTCTTTTGTCCCTGATTCTGCTCGCTCCCGTGTGCCCTGATCTGCCAGCTGTTGTTCCTACAGATTCCAACAACATAGCAGAACCAGCAAAGTACTTGGTGGGTGTTGGCAGAGCTGACTGCACGGGGCCTGTGGCACAAGTGCCTCTGGTGAGTTGGGGAAATTCCTCATGGGGTTGCTGAAATACTGCTTTTTCATCCTTTGTGAGTGTTTTTTGGCAGGATTTCTGGTTTAGAGCCTCTGCCTTGCCAAATGGGTGTCGCCTTCAAACTTAAGTTGAAATGTCTTTGAGGTTTGGAGCAAAGTGGGCTGGTGGGAAGTGTCCCTGCCCATGGCAGGGGCTTGGAAGGAGCTGGGCTTTAAGGTCCCTTCCAAGCCCAAGCATTCCATGATGGTTAGAATTGCGGGGTGACACGGAGTCACAGCTCGGAGCTGTTGAATGAGTCCTCTGACCCCTGGGCAAATCCGCTCAGGAAAATGAGTGCAGAGGCATAACCAGCTCAGGATTTCTGATGGAGCTCCTCTCTTGCAGATGGGATATGCCAACCCCGACCAGGTGGGTGGGGGGCTCCTCTCGCGCCTCTACAGCCGAGCCTTCATCGTGGCAGACCTCAAGAACTCCAGGCGGGTCGTCTTTGTCAGTGCTGACATTGGAATGGTGTCCCAGAGAGTGAGGTTGGAGGTAAGGGGCTGCAAAGGAGGGGCTGGGGGCTTGTTTCCTTCGGGATTTCCTTGGGGGGGTGCTGTGCCTCTGCTGGAAAAGAGCTTTGCAGCCCTCAGCAAATGAGGCTGGACTTTGCTCACTCTTCTCTTAGTGGAAAAGTTACCGGGAGTTTGTTGGAATCACAAATACATTATCATGGTGCCTCTAATGTAGCAGAGGAGGGAGGGAGGGAGGTGCTGGAGAGCTGTGGATCATCCTGGGATGATCTGGGATTCACTTCAGGTTGGATTTAAAGGTCTTTCACCAGATATTCCTATTTTGAAGTTCTTGCCAAGCCCACAGCTACAACCTCCTTGTTGTGCCAGGCAGGAAGAGAAGCCTGAGGAGGGGGATGGATGGTTGAGGTTTTTGCAAGAGCTGGGCCCAAATCTCCGTAGCCTTTGGGCACGAGAAGGGGTTTTTAGGAGCACCTCCTTCCTCCCAGGTGCTGAAGCAGCTGCGGAGCAAGTACGGCCAGCTGTACCGGCAGGACAACGTCATCCTCAGCGGCACCCACACGCACTCAGGGCCCGGGGGGTACTTCCAGTACACCCTGTTCTGGATCACCAGCAAGGGGCTGGTCAGGCCAGCCCTCAGCTCCATCGTGAACGGCATTGTGAAGGTCGGTGTCACCCAGTTCAGCGTGTTGGTGTTTGGGGTGGCAGCTCCACGTGGCACGGCCTGAAACACGCTTTGAGGGGGGCTTGTGCTTGACAGTGAAAGCAGCTCAAAAAGCAGAAGCTTTGCATCCTTTCTTCAGAGGCAGCTGTTGGTAGTTTAAAAATGTTATCATAATTTTCTAGAATTTTAGAGAAGAAAAATCCCAAACAAACAAGCACCCCCAAATTCCAGGAAAGGGCTGGGGAGGGAAAGAAAGAGTTTTCCCGGATAACCTCCCGTGTGCCATACCGGATGATACCCCTTGTCTTGCTGCTTTGCAGAGCATAGGTATTGCCCATGAGAACATGAAGAGAGGAAGGCTCTTTATAAACAGAGGCACGGTAGAAAACAGCCAGATCAACCGGAGCCCTTTCTCCTACCTCGCCAACCCGCAGTCCGAGCGGAACAGGTAAAATCTCCCCAGGCAGGAGGGAGAAATTAACGGCTTGAAAAGGATTTGAAAGCTGTAGTTGCCCTCTCCAAGCACGAGGAATTGGTGAAGGATGCGACCTTGTGCTTTATTTAACAAGTAAAGGGTCAGAGGGCATTAAAGTGAGGTCCTTGGTGCACGGATTTGTGTCATCCCCGTTCCCTGGAGGAGAGGTGCCGGAGGACAGTGGCAGCCAGAGCTCTTCCCTCACCTCCCCAGCTGGTTTCAGATGCCTCTCTAAGGCCTCACTGTGCACTGGCAGTACCTGCAATGACCTTTTCACATCCTGGCTCAGCCTAGTGGGGATTTAACCTGCCAGAGCGATGCAGAGCACGGCCCTGACTCTGATGGGGTTTCCTGGCTTTGTTCCCATCCAGGTATTCATCCAACACGGATAAAGAAATGGTGGTGCTGAAGATGGTAGATGAGGATGGATCCGAGCTAGGCCTTATCAGGTACCGACCACCAGAGCAGCAGGTTTCTCTCCATACCCTCATTATTTTTTGTAAGAACCAAAGTGCTCCCTTCTTCCCCCTTTTTTACATGACTGACTCCTCCTCGTTCCTTTGAATATGAAAATCCCTGCAAAACATAATTCTCTGGGTTACTGCAAGAGTCAGGTCAGACCTGAAGGAGCTTGGTGGCCCTGATAATGACAGTGACAAATTCTTGTGGCCTCAAGGCCTGGATTGTTACAGCCATGAGCCCCCCTGGCTGGGAAGGGAGAGGATGGGAATCCTGTGCCCTTGTTAATCCAGCCCTAAGCACCACGAGTCTCTGTGTGTACTCTCCCAAAGAAAATTCCCACAGACACATGAGATTGAGCAGGTCTGAGCTGCTGCACAGAGTGACCAGAGCATTTTCTGTGTGTGCCTTGTGACCCAGCTGGTTTGCCGTGCACCCGGTGAGCATGAACAACTCCAACCACCTGGTGAACAGCGACAACGTGGGCTACGCCTCCTACCTGTTCGAGCAGGAGAAGAACAGGGGGATGCTCCCCGGAGAGGTGGGAGTGCCCAAAGGAATGGGTGAAACAGGGCTGGGACAGGGTGGGCAAACAGAGACACAAGGACTGAGGTGAATGCTTTATTTCCTTTCTTCCTCTACAGAAGGGAAACAGGAAGGTGTATTCTTGACTTTACAAACTAGTAATCGGTGGCAGTTATTCAGACTTGAGGAATTACATTTGTTTTGATTAAAATCTGGGGAGGTTGTGGTTGTCCCTGGAAGTGCTCGAGCCTAGAACAACCAGGAAAGTGTCCCTGCAGTTAGCTCCAATAGTTCTCACCCAGTAAATCAGTCATGGTGATTGCCTGGAAGGGAAAAAAATCCTGTGCAAGGTGCTCCAATGACCCATAAACTTCTGATCAGCAACATGAGAAGCCAGGGACATGCTGGGAAGGGCTGAGGTGGAAGAGGGGGAGGAGGAAACACTGCCTGCACACCAAGGTGGTGTGAGGTTCTCCCTGCAATGGCATGGTGTGCATCCAATTCTGTCCTGCTCTTCCTGCCCTACCCCTGGGATGTGCCTAAACCCCCTCCTCCCCCATTCCAGTGCTCCCAGTGACTCTGGGAATAAACCAGAGTCCTGCTTGGTGATCGCAGCGGCTGCGGGGAGAGCTGCAGGTGGGCTTTGCAGCTTTCCCTGCAAGGCACTGCAATGCTCCTCTGGCCTTGGCAGGGCTCTTTTGTGGCCGCCTTTGCCTCATCCAACCTGGGAGATGTGTCCCCCAACACGCGGGGCCCGTTCTGCGCCAACACGGGCGAGTCGTGTGACAACCCCCAGAGCACCTGTCCCGTCGGAGGGGTGAGTGTGACCCACCTTCTGCAGAGCCGTGCATGGAGAGGGCACCAAAAGTAAAAAATCACCTCTTCTTGGACTGGCCTGGGCGCCACTTCCAGGAATTAACTGTGCTTTGCCCCTCACCCCCAATTTTCTGGTCATTCACCCTGAATTTTCCTTGAGTGTAGTAACCCTGTGCCTAATTTTGATGTGGCCTGCAAGAAGCTCTCAGTTCCCAGTTCCCAGGATCTGACAACCTGGCAGTGCCAGATGCTCTCCATAATCACTGATGACCAAATTTCCCAACAGGCAGCCATGTGCATGGCCAAGGGGCCCGGGAATGATATGTTTGAGAGCACCAGGATTATAGGGCAAAATATCTACTTGAAAGCAAAGGTGAGGCATATTCTGCTTTCTGAGTGTGCGTGAGTGCTGCTGCGACAGGAATTCATGCTAATTTAAGTAATTTGATCAGCCTTGTGGATCCCTTCCCTCTGGATATTCCATATTCCATCTTCTATCTACCTTGTATCTTGTATCTTCCATATTCCACATTCTGCCTATCTTGTACCTGTTTTGGTGAATGTTTGGAGATTCAAATTACTCCAAAGTTCCTTGATTTTGTTTTTAATGAGTAAATGAGCTCTGCAACCAGCTGGTGATGTCTCTGTCTGCCAGAATCAGGAGGACCTCAGAGCCTGGAATTCGTTAGACTTAGGACAGTGTAGGAAATCTTAATGGTGGGGAAACATTTCCTCAGGTGTAACACATCTGATTAGAAACCTGAATTTAGACTGGACAGCACATTCCTTTTTTTAGATACATCATTGCAGATGCTGTCATTTAAAAATGTTGCTTTGGGGTTTTTAATCACACTATTCCTCACTGGGATATAATGAGGATGTCCCCTCTTATCCTCTTCCTTCTCCCTCCCATTCATCTCAAAGGCATCATGACAGGAAAAATCCTCCTGGAAGAGCTCAGAGACACCACCACCACCACTTGTGGGCCAGTTTGCCATCACATTCCCAAACTGACATAAATGTGGGGTAAAATGTGTGGCTTGAACCCCCACAGAGGATGCTCCCCTTGCTCTGCTTGGCCCTGCATTTCCTCAGTCCTGAGGGCTCCCTTTTGTCACCTGGGGGCTCTAAAGCCTCCCTGGATTGAATTTGTTGGTGTGATGTGAGAGCAGTGAGTGCAAGGAGCGCTTTTGGCAGCACTTCAGGGACAGCAGCTTGTAGGAACTGGAGCATGTCCAGCAGAGGAGGAAGAGCAGGAGGCTTGGTGCTGGCTTTCCCTTTAATCACTGTTTCAGAGGCTGTGCCCTGAAGTCACTCCAGGCTGATCGTGCCTCTGTCCCCAGTGTGAGAGTCCTGGTGTGTGCATCAAACACAGGGGAAAAAAAACCCCTGCTGTTGTCTTTAACACCTCAGACTCCTGGCCTTCAAAGGCTGTGCCCTCAGCTCCTTCCAGGAATGTCATTAAACCTGTACAACTTCTGGCAACCCTTCCCACGGGCCAACCTGAGGCTGGAAAACCATTCCCTGAAGGGCTGAGTGTGTGTAGTAAATACCTGCAGCTGTCAGGGGTGCAGTAAACACATGGCAGAGTATTTATTATCTTTAAGGCACTGAGTAGAGCAAAGCGCTTCTTTCTCACAGATAACATTTTTTCTGCTTGGTCTAAAATGTGAGAAATGCCAAGAGGTGGCAACCAGAAGATGCCATCCTGCTGAAGTAGGGGCATGTTTAGGTGTAAAAGAGAAATGTCCTCCCTCTCTGAGACAGGGAGGGCTTGCAGGGCTCAGGGCATGCAGGGTGTAGAGTCAGGGTGACAGAAACAAAGGGATTTGGGAAGTACAGTGCCTGGAAGAGGCCCCGGGAAGGTGGAACGAGGAAATGATCCATACGGCTGCTCCTCAGCAGAGCTGGGTTCCTGACCACTTGTCCTTCAAGGATGTTTTTCCACCTCCCGTGTCTCTTAGGAACTGTATGAAAAAGCCTCCCAGGAGGTGACAGGACCCCTGAGCTCAGCCCACCAGTGGGTGAACATGAGCAACGTGTCCGTGGAGCTCAACGCCACACACACGGTGAGAGCGCCAGGGAACGCCCTGCTCCCGCAGCAGCAGCTGCCACAGTGAGGGAAACGGGTTTTCTCTCTTACTCCCTTCCTTCTCTCCTTCTGATTTAGGTTAAAACCTGTAAGCCAGCCCTGGGGCACAGCTTTGCTGCAGGGACTATTGATGGAGTGGGGGCTTTCAACTTCACCCAAGGTAATTTGGGGGCAGGTCCCAATGCGGCTCTGCATGGCCAGGGAGGGGTTGGCATTCCCCAGGGAGACTGGAACCCCTGGAGTCACTTCACAGCATCCAAAGGAATGGTTTTTAGGCAGGTGGGGGAAACCCCTCACAGGTTTGTCTGTGTCCATTCTGGAAAAGGTATGGCCATGCCCTGGAGGAAGGAGAGCAAGGGGATGTGGAATAGGGGAATTAAGAGCTGGTTTGGGACTCCCCTGCTCATTTGTTCCCATTACCTGAAGGCTGCCAGGAGCTGAGCTGGGCTGGAGCTCTGCAAAGCACCCCAGGAGAGGGAGGTGGTCTGTGCCCACTGAGAAATGTCCCACTCCCGTGAGCAGGGAGTCTGGGAAGCTGCTGGGGCAGCTGAGGAACACTGTTGCAAGATGTTTCCCCCTCAAGGTGCAGTAGAAGGGGACCCGTTTTGGGACCAAATCCGGGACCAGCTGCTGGGAGAGCCATCGAACGAAACCAAAGCCTGCCACAAACCCAAGCCCATCCTCTTCAGCACAGGGGAGGTAAGGACACTCCCATGGGGAGTGCAGGGATCACCGGGCTTGAGTCACAGACCCCAATCCCTCAGGGCTTTGTTGGGGAGCTACAGGCAATGTCTGTGATGTCTGGTGAAGAACAAGGAGGGAGCACAGGCTGCATGGGCTCTGCAGAGCTGCTGCTCCATCGAGCCCAGCCCATCCCCATGCCCAGGGCATGGCTTGGTGTTTCTGAGCTCTCCCCAAATCCTGCTCGACAGCTCTAAATGGAGATCACTGTCCCTTGTCCCACCTGGCGCTCCCTTGGCACTGAGGCAAATGCGCTGCTGCCGAGCAGAATGATCCTGTCCAGGGCTCTTCAGAGCACTTAGACTGTCTGGATAAGGAAATTCATTGTTACTCCTTTCACCAGCTGCCTTAAAAACTTCCCTGCTGTCACTCTGTTCAATCAGCTCCTCACCTCAGCTCTCCTCAGAAGAGGCCCCAGCTCCTCCCAGCCTCCTCCTCCACGCAGGATGGTGTTACTGAGAGTAAATTACACTTTATTCTTATGGCTTTAGCACATTTTAGGGATACTCTGACAGGCCTCCTGCTTCTGATGTGCTTCACAAGCTCTTGTCATTCATGTTTTGACCCCAGCAAATTGCTCCTCAGAAAAAAAGCCCTTTTTAGGCTTGCTGGAGTGTGATTTTTCATCTCCTCATCAATCCCAATTCTACCCTTTTTTCATGCAGGTGAGAGGTCTATAGGTGCTACCCTGACCTTCTTTACCCACTTTGCCTAAAGCTGCCCCTCTGGCAACACCTTATTTAGGGGATTTTTTTGCCTTACCCGTAGTATTTACCTGTGCCTTACATGCCTTTTACGGTCAGACATCATATGAAGGTAAAACACCTTCTCACGTGTTTCACAAATAAATTAACTTTAATTTAAAAATAAATTCACAAAACACATTTATCTGCCTGGTTGATGACTGTAGGAAGTAAAACACCTCAGCTATTTTTTTTTTCCCACTAAACCAGAGTATTTGTCTGCACTTTTTCATCCCCCTTAGATGACTTGGCCCCACCCCTGGCACCCGGACATTGTGGACGTGCAGATCGTTGCCATCGGATCCCTGGCAATCCTTGCTGTTCCCGGGGAGTTCACGTGGGTATTCCTTGGGTCTTGCTCTATTTATTGCAGCCAGATTTTGTTCAAGCCTCTTGGAACAGTTCTGCCTGCTGGTAGTAATGGGGATAGGCTCAAAATTGTCCTCAGACTCACCCTGAGAATAATTGAGATGCACACAGGCTTCCTGAATCATTTTGGTTGTGACAAAATGCAGTTTCAAGGAAAACAAAGGAATTTGCTAACTTAGATTCTGGTTTTGGCACCACAAATGTCATAATGATGAATTGCACTGACTGATGGTGGTGCAATGATGCACATTTAAATGGGATAATGATTTATCTCTAGTGTCTTTATTTCTACCCTGCCCTGGGGTGCCTCCAGTCCCTCCCTAGTTGTGGTGATGGGTGTGAAATGTTTTGAGGTGTTTTGGCTGAACTTGTGCATAGAGGTTTTAAGGGATGTTGGGAAATGCTGGAGCTGCTGTGGGAATTTCTGGTGGGTGCTGCAAGTCCAGCCAGCAATTCCTGCTTTTGATCCCTGCTCTCCCCAAATCCAGGGGGGGGGTCGGGCTCTGCTGCCAGGGAACAGGGACAGGACAAGGGGAAACGGCCTCAAGCTGTGCCAGGGGAGGCTCAGGTTGGACACCAGGAGGAATTTCTCCATGGCAAGGGAGCTCAGGCCTTGGCAGGGGCTGCCCAGGGAGGTTTGGAGTCCCCATGCCTGGAGGTGTCCAGGGAAGGGCTGGACGTGGCACTCAGTGCTCTGGGCTGGGGACAAGGTGGGGATGAGGCACAGCTTGGACTCCATGGGCTGGGAGGGATTTTCCAGCCTCAGTGATCCTGGGATTCCATGATTCTGGAGCCTAACTTTGTTCCCTCCATGCCCTAGGACCATGTCTGGACGCAGGCTGCGGGAAGCTGTTAAAAGTGTGAGTTGCTGGGGTTTCCCCAGAGCACAGCACGTCTGGAACTTCTCTTTTTCTGAGCCTCCTGGTTCTGCCCTCCTCTCTTCCCAGCTGGGCTCATGGGACTCGTGTCCCACAGATGTTTCCTTCTCCCATTTTCTTCAGAAAGATTTTCCATCTGCTTCCTGACAGGCAGGATAAATGAATATCCTCCCCAAAACACCAACTGATCGGGTTTCAATCCATTAAGCCAATTCCACAGGGATCCAGGCAGAACTGATGCCAGCAGGAGTTTGGCTCTGGGATGGAGGCGTTCAGCTCCTTAATCCCTACCAGGATTTTGCAACATGAGAACAACTGAAAGAAAAAAAAAAGTAAAAAAAAAATAGTATTTTTTTTCATTTGATTGACACATCCTGTCTGCAGCTTTAATAAAATCCCAATCCCAGATGCTGTCTCCGCAATTCACCAGGCCTTTCTCACACTTATATCCCTGATTTTTTTAGGAGTATACAGTCCTAATCAGCTATGTATCAGCTTCCAAAAAAACCCCTAGATTTACTTGAATGTGAGGTCATTTGTACCCTTTTTCTTTGGGGAGTGAATATGAGACCTCAAAAAACGCAAATTGAACTTGTAGGTTTGCATTCCTGAGCATCCAGCCCCCCTTCCCATATAACTTTGTATTCTGTCCTTGATAATAATAATAATAATAATAATAATAATTAATAGATAATAAATAAATAATAATAATACCAATAATATTGCCAACTACCATAACATTATTAATATTTTATATTATAAATATAATACATAACATTATATATATATATATAATATTAATATAATAATAGTAATAATAACAACAACAGTAATAATGACAACAGTACAGTTGTGCATGAAGCAGTTATTTCAAGGTAAAGGTTGTATTTCCTTCCTTAGGAATTTGATTCCCACGGGACACCAAAGATGAACGTTGTAATTGCAGGTTTGTGCAATGTCTACACCCACTACATCACCACCTACGAGGAATACCAGGTAAATGTTTAAATTGGGGATTGAGTCTGTCTAACTGAGCTCAGCTTTTGGCTCCATGGGCTAATAGTTCATGTGAAATGATGTGTGTTTGGAGTTCTTTTCCTTCACCACCAAAACAGGCAGGGAGAATTGGGAGGGAAGGTTGCAAGAACTGGGGTTAGAAGAATCCCACCCCAAAAAAGTTGGAGGGGGAGGCAAGTTGCATCAGAAGCCTTTAAAAAAGGGTAAAATATTTTTTTTTTTAAATGTTTTTTTAAAATCTTTTCTAAAAAAGGGTGATAATTGGGAGAGCAAAGAGGGTAGAAACTGTACTAAAGGGAAGAGCAAACAGGCCCTCCCTGTTTGCAACAGGTTGGAGAATGAGGAGTAACCTGAAATTGCAGCAGAAATACTTTGGTGAATTGTTGGGGCTGTCTCCTTATCAGAAAGGGAGTAAATGACCCCACTGCTGATCTTGAGCTGGGTGGGATGGGATGTACAAACCATTCAGGAGCCTTCCCAACCCTCCTCTCCCAAATTTGTCCTTTCCAGGTTCAAAGATACGAGGCTGCCTCAACTATTTATGGGCCACACACCCTTTCTGCTTACATCCAGCTGTACAGGGGCCTGGCCAAGGCTATTGCTCTGGTAAGCAGCACTTCCCACATGCCACAGGCTGCTGGGGACACCTAAATCCTGTCAGGGGTGGTGGCTGGTCCTCACTGAGGCCACCTGACTGCTGCCATCGCTCTTCAGAATCCACCCTGAGAAACACTACATGGTATGAAAATAATTCCTGTAACGGGGGTCTGACACCACTTGAGAAATTCTGGGGGTTTGTCAGCTCAAAGTGTAGGAAATCAGTACCTCCAACCTTTCAGCACTGCCTGAAGTTGCTGCTTTTCTACCGAAAGGGAAAAAAACTTGCTGTGTTCTTGGTGTGCCTGGTGGTGCCCATTAACACTGGGACACCGGGCAGGAGTGCTGGGCAGGAATATCCTGGCATGTTCTGGGGCTGGATTTAGGAGAACCCAGCTACAGGGCAGCAGGTGTCCTGCAGGGATTGCTCCTGCAGGCAGAGCACAGATGGAGATCCTCTGCTTTGGTTTCACACTCACTTTATTATTCCTACAATCTGTGCAAGCGGAGGCTGGGAGGCAGAGCCGGAGCAGTGCTGTGGCTCCTCAGGGAACCCTGGCTGTCCATGTGGATGTTTAAGGAGCACATCTTCCCTCTCCCAGAATGCCACTCAGGAGCTGCCCCGTGGTCCAGAGCCCCCACTTTTCAACGTAACCAGTCTGACCCTGCTGCCTTTGCTCAGCGCCGAGAACGCGCCGGCCAATAAAGACTTTGGGGATGTGCTGGAAGAAGTGAGACAAGAGTATCGAGAGGTGAGGGCTTCAGGGAGTCCCTAAAACCTGAGAAATTGCCTTTAAATTCTTCCCCCTCACCCCACAAATCTGTGAGTTGTGGTGCCCTCAGACCAACCAGGTCTCATCTCTCTGGTGGGCACGGTTGAGAAGGCAGGGACAGAGCATTTCCATGTACTGGATGGGAATAAAATGGGTGAATAAAGGAGAAAATAAAAGCCCTTCATTCAACACGAAGCAGATTTCCCCCTCTGCTTCAAAACAAAACAGCAGTTGATAAAGTAGGCAAATATTGCACAGTGATTTTTTACAAGCAGCAATCAGGTCACCTTTGATGCCTCTGCTGTGGAATGTGAAAGAAATTAAATCAAAATGTCAGAAATGGTTCTGTTTTTAATGCTCAGCATTTAGATAAGATTTCAGTTCAGAGCAAGGGCTTTCACCTCACTGCTGTCTCCTTACTCCCTGCAGTAAGGCAGGGAGGCATTCTGAAAAGCCTCCCATATTTCTTCCCTTTTTTATGTGCAGTGGTGGAGTTTATCAAGTGGACAAGTGGAATGGCAAGGCCCAGAGCAGCAGTACAAAGCATAAATTGTCCACTGCTGTTGCAACAAGTGAAATTATAAATAATTTAAAACAACAGCAACAACAAACCAAGCACAATCAAACACCACAAAAACAACCCACCCCCTAAATGCATCAAATGGCCTCTTCAAAGGATGCTCTTAATGTGCTGCTCAGCCTTTAACACAAATCTCAATTTCCCCTCCCCAGAGAGAAGTTGCTGAAGTGACTTTTGTGGGTGCAAACCCCAGGAACTCTGCAGAGAATGCGGTAAATTGGGATGGAATGATGCTGGAATTGGGGTGTTTGGGATTAATGGGTATTTGGGTAGGATTTTTTCATTGCTGGGAGACCAGAGGAAGATGTGTGCTTTGGGAATTCACACCACCAGATAGCTTTTGGGGCAAATAAGTGAATTTGGGCTGTTCATGACCTCTTTATATTATCGAAGCTGAACCTTATTATGTGTTAGACCAAGTTGATATCCAGGGAAAACCTGGTCTCTAATTTCCATCCTACCACCCTGCTGCTTTATTTTAACAAAAGAAAGGAAATTAGAAAAGCACTTAATTCATTCCATGATTCACCTGGCATGGACATTGTCACTGCCCATTCTCTTCCTACAGGTAAGTTCTTTGCATCATTTATCAGCTTAAATTTGTGCTTTGGCAATAAAATATAACATTTTTGCCAGTAATTCCCAGATTTGCCAGTAAAGCATGAGGAAGCAGAGTCCCTATCCAGTTTAAAGTGCCACAGAAGGTGGGGACGTGCCTGTACCTTCAGTGTCTGGTATTTTTATTCCAGACTGAGCATAACTTCCTGACGGTGGAGAGATACTCCAACATTTCCGGCAGCTGGCGCACGGTGCTGAACGACGCCTCCTGGGACACCAGGTGGGTGCCCTGAGAAATTTCCCTGTCCCACAGAATCCAGGGAATCATTCCAGTCTAACCTCATTCCAGAGCTCCCAGCCCCAGGTTAGTCTTGGCCCTGCAGGCCATGCTCTCCAGGGGAGGATCAGCTCATATTTGGGGGGGGAGCAATTTGGCAAAACTGGTGTTCCCCTTGGCTCCAGAACCTGGAACAGAGGCTTGTAAATTTGGGAAAGGGAGGAGGAAGGGCAGAAAGTACAGGAGGTTTGTGGTCCAGCTTGCCCCTAGCCTAGATCCATCCCTCTGGCACACTGTGGGGATGAGTAAGATGCCAAAGAGAAAAGAGGAGAGACTCACAGGGAAAACTGCCCAGATGTGCTGTGCAGCATAAGCAGACAGCAATTTTGGAAAGTTTGGAAGAAAGAAAAGTTAAGTGTGGAGAGGTCAGCCTTCAGGAAAAATATCCACAAAGCAGCAAGGCTGGTGACACCTTTCAAAGCTGTAGGTGAATCTTCATCAGCTTCCCAAGAAGGGCTCCCTCAGAGCCAGCTGAAAAATCCCTTGTGTCCAGGTGAAGTGTGGGGGTTTTGAGGCTGAGCATTCTCTGTAGAGTTTTAGAATTGAGCAGAAGGGCTTTTGCACAAGGAGTCTGTAAAAGAAAATGGGCTTTTGATATGGAAATGGGTACCAGAAGTCCTGAGCTCAATAATTAGACTTTGTTTGTGATTTAAGTGAGTATTCATCCTCTTGGTTTAGCTCTGCCCCTGCACAGGGAGGACTTAAAATGCACTTACCAGGAGCGTGTTCATCTCATTGCACGTCATGAGCTCCAATAAAACGTGGATTTCCTTGCTGACTGCAGTTTTGGGCCTGTTTTGCAGGTTTTACTGGAGCAAAGGATCCCGAGGCCAGAGCAATGTGACCATTGAGTGGCACATCCCGGCTGGCACAGAGCCGGGCCTCTACCGGTTCCGCTACTTCGGGCACTGCAAGAAGAGGCTGTTCCCCTTCTTGAAAACCATCACAGTCCCATTTGAGGGTTCATCCTCAGCATTTCAAATCACAGCTCCATAGGTGATCCCACTCCCTAGAGGAATGGTGGTAGATTTGGGCTGTGCAGGATTTGGACTTGGATGATTCTTGTGGGTCCTCTCCAACTCCAGATGATCCAGCAACGTTCTGGGAGAGTTTTTTGTGGCTCTGGGCATCCCTGGTGCCCCTTGAGTGCTGCTGGTCATCCTTTGATGTGCAAAGCTTGACTTTCTGGAAAGTTCTGGCTTTTCCCTGCACTTGAATCTCCTCATGTGTCCTCAGTAAAGTGGTTCCTGTCCTGGCCAGGCCCAGTTTCAGCTGATTCTTATTGTAATAATGATGTAATTTCTTTAGTCATTAAAGCTGTGCCTGTTGATGGTGAATAGGCTGTCCCGGAGGGAATTAGATGGAAATCAGTAAGAACTGAATTGATGAGCTAAATCTGCCGGTGAGGCAGCTCTGAACAGACCCCAGCCTGCTTTTTTGGGAGCATCAGGAAAGACCCAAGGCCAGCAGGCTCTGGCTGGATGAAGGGTCACCCACAGAAGGGATTGTGGTCCCTCTCCAACCCACACAAGAGCACAGAATGAAGACACCATTGCAGGCTACAAGGACAGCGCCCAAACCTGCTGGCTGAAAGTGTTTCACCACAAGGAAAGTCCCAGGAATGCAGAGGATCTTCCCAGGAGGGTTTCAGAGCTGCCTGGACAAAGCCATGACCACCTTGACCCAGTGTTGGTGGCAGGTTCCTCCTGAGCTGCCTCCCACCAGCATTGCCATGGGCTGCCATAAGTGGGGACAGCTCCACATTCCCTAAACCTCTTCTGCCCTCTGTGAGTGGTAGAACCGGGGGGCACAGGGAGAAGAAAACACAGTTCAGGTCTGGATTTAGGATTCTTGTAGGGTCTGACAGCTAAACAACTGTAAATGTTTAATAAGCTCCAATAATGTGTACCAATTTTGTATGCAATCTCCTTAATTCTTCAGAGAATCATCAATCAGATAATTTTGCCTCTCTTTAAAATCAGTAGGAGAGGATGAATTATTCATTTCCAACCAGCTGCAATCAGTCTCAGACATCCCCATCCGGAGGAGCTCAAAGCAGTCGTAATATTGAGTCAGGAAAAAGAGAGAGCTTTGAAAGAACATCACTGGGAATCAAATCCCTGGAAATGCTCCTGATGGCCTGTTCTAATAACTCCACCAGCCACCCCACTAACAGAGGGGTTTTTTTTAGTAGACCATGCTTAGGACATGCAGGACATGTTTAAGCCAGCCAAGCTGGATTGCAAAATGAAAGATCTACCCTCTAAACCATGAACATCTGACCCAAAAGAACTCTCTCCTAAAATAGTGTTTTTAGGAAGCATGGGAGAGGAAGTTTTGAAATCCAGAATTAGGGTATCTGGAGAGTCCCTTGTGCCCCAGCACAGGTCACCTTATGAAACACCTCCTGTTTATTTGGCTGTCATCAGTGGGCAGGATTTTGAAGTTTAGGGGGCTTTTTTAAATTTTTTTTTCAATTTTTATTTTTTATTTTTTTTTATTTCCATCATATTTTGTGTGTAGAAAATTCTGTAGGAGAGAAGCCCTTGGTTTTATTTGTTCTGTAACAGCATCGTGGCTGTAGGCAGGCAGCGACCAGCAGCCCGTCCCTGCTTCCCTGCACGCTTTTTGGGGATGCTGTGCCTGGATCCAGCAGCCACTAGGTGCCAGTGCTGTTTTACACGAGAACAAACTCGAGCCAAAGCCTAGAAAAAAAGGAATTTTTCAGGAATTTGGGCACCTCGCCAGCTGTTAAATATAGCCCTCACTACTCCTCGCAGTTGCTCGTCCCGGGCTGCTGTCCCTCGACGTGGAGCCATTTGTGCCCTGCTACGTGCTGGGGAGAAGGGCAGAATTCCACCTTTGTTTTATTTTTGTTGGCGTGGGATTTAAACTACCACGAACTCGGGGAACTTGTGTCCGCAGGCTGAGCTCCTGTGCAGGACTCGAGCACGCCACAACCTCCCCTCCTGCACATCCCGTCCCTTCCCAATTTACCAGCAGAATTAGGAGATGCTAATTTGGGATCTGACCCGCTGCTGTCTCGGGGCTTTGATGCGGGATTTGGGATTTGTTGGATCCTGTGCTTGTCTGGGGCTTTTTCCAGCATCCCACAGAAGGTATTTGTGTGCAGCCTATCTGCAGCTCTCTGGTTTTTAACATCTCCACAAACCGGGGTCGGATATACATGGGGTGGGGCTGAGGACCAAGGAATGTCACTCTTGCAAAGTTTGTTCCTTAAGCAATCCCAAATCTGGATGGGCACAATCCTGTGGATAACTGGAGCCAGGCCAGGACGAGTCTCTGGGCATGGAGAGGAGTTTGAGGTGTTCAGGGAGACAGCAGCCCACCCCAAACATCCCCAAAGGACAGGGGTTGGTGGGCAGGGGCTGTCTGAGCCCTCACCAGCACTTAAAAAAGGACAGCTGAGAACTGGAGTTTTATCCAAGATGAGATTTTGGGGGACACAAGAAGGAAGAAGAAAGGAACATCCATCCCATCAGAGCACCATGAGTAGCACCAGGGCCAGGCTGACCCCCTGGGGTCAGCTGGGGACCAGCAGGGACTGGTGACCCCTGACTGGGATGTCGCCTTCAAAGGGTGTTTGGTTGGTTGGTTTGGGGTTTTTTGGAAATCCAGCTCGGTATGTGATGGAGCAATGAGATGAGATGGTCCCTGGGAAATTTAGCTGGGAAAAGGGAGCCATGAAAGCTCCCAGGTAAAGCAGATCCCTTTGACAGTCACATTATCCCATGGACTGAGGGGGTTTCAGTGGGACATGAGAGCTTCCCTGTGGGATGTTCCAGGGTCTGGCCAGCTCCAAACACAGAGTTGTGTCACCCTCAGGGACTTTTTATTCTCACTCTGCACCTCAGATGAGAGGCCCTGTGTTGTACAGACCTCCAGGAAAGCACTGGCTGGAAGAAGGGAGATGGAGAATGCAGTTTTTGTACCCCTTGCCTTGCCAGCAGCCAATGATGAGTCCATCTGCTGATTTTTCTGAGTGTTGATCTCATCACTTACACCTCAAACTTGTCTTAGACTGGTTGGTGGAGGGTGGATATGGTTTTTGGCTTTGTCTTGCTCTCCACTGGGAACCCATATCTTTACAAATGGGAAATAATGTTTTCTTTAAGTTGGGCTGTGGGTTTGAGATTCCTTGTAAAATCATCCTTGCAAAACTGACTGGCCAGCTGCTGCTGAGCAAAGAGGGAATCTCAGTTGTGCCAGGGGGAAATGTTACAGCACAACAGCAAATTCTCCATTGCCCTGGTTTTGGAGAAAATGAAAGCAGGACATTGGGAAAAGCTAATGAGGGAAAATAATAGAGCTGGCAGAGCTGCTGGAGCCCAGAGTACAGCTGACCTCTTTGGAAGAACAACGTCAAGCTATTTCGGCAAAATCTCTTTTGGAGTGGCAGGGAGGCCTTGGCTTGTGTTATCAGATCTTCCCCCATTTCTTGGGCTCAGGATCTCTCTGGAAAGGTGCAAACCCAGAGCCCCTTGTCCCAGGGATTGCTGTTTCGCAGTCATATGATGGTCTTCCAAGGAGCAGGGCCTCATCTTAAAAAAGATTTACTTATCAGTGACCTGGCAACAGGCTCTTCACAACGTGGGGCAAATCCCCCACAGCCCTAAATCATGGATCTCCCCATTTACCCCCTCATTTTTGCATGGTTTTGTCTCACTATTGATACAACCCCCCCCAAAAATCTCCACGGGGATCAGGTAAGGAACAATTACCATTGTAATGAATTCACGGCAAACCCAATTCCTGTAGCACTGACGGGTAAATAATTACTGTTTAAATAAGAATATTAAATAAATAATAAATAATTACTGGTGAAAGAGGGCAAAGAGGCCAAGAACCCCCCGATTTTTCACTTAGAAGTGCAGAAGAACCTGCTGATTTTGTGCTGCGTGTACTTGGTGAGGGTCACCAAAGTGTGGAAAACACTCCTGAACCACTTTGTGACCCTGCCAGCACGACCTGGGATCGATCTCCCCAGAGCAAAGTGTGCTCCTGTTTACCACAGATGTATACAAGGGCCAAGGCTTGTGTTTAAAAAGTTTTAATGATATTTCAAAGTCCAGCGAATGTCCTCGGATTACTCGAAAATCACAGAGTTGCTTCACAGAATTTAGTCCCGGTTCTAATTTGTAACGGATGATAGAGATGCCATTTTCCCCTTGATTCCCTTTAAACATACGATTGTCCTCCAGTAAATGGAAATTGTGATTTTTCGCTACACTTCACAGTGTTAAAACTCTATACAAACCTTGTACTACTCGTACAAAAATAAGTGCTTCATGCACACATTTTTAATACTGCTTCTTGCCCTTTGCTTTGACATCTTTCTGAACTTATATAAATAGCTGAAAAAGCAGACTAAACTCACTGAACGTGGAAAGTGAGAAACACTTCCTGCCAACGGTTTGAGAGACTCCCCTGGCTATGTTCCTCGTTGGCAAACACCACTTAAAGACAGATACAGAAGAGAAAAAAAAAAGAAGCCAGGAAATCCGTAACACTCTCGGTTATTTGGCCCTCTGTGACCAGGTTTATCCTTTGCTGTGAAGCCAAACGCGGCCAGCAGCAGCCACAGAGGGCTTGTAATACCTTTAGGGTCACCCTAATGAGCTACTTTATAAATAGGAGGGGTCTAACGGGGCCTCAGCCCATACGGCCCATGGGGTTTGTTCCATTCCAGGGGAAATTGAATCAGAAGAAGAAACACTTAGTTCCTGCAGTCACCACCATGTCACAGACCCCTCACAGCCTGGGGGACTCACAGGGAAAGCTCCCCTGGGAATGGCTTCCACTCTGCCACATCACAGCATCTAAAACAGGTGATAAATCTGGGGCCAGATCTGCTGGGTGCCATCAACCTAGCTGTAAATTCTTCCTCCCAAAAAGGGTTTTTTTTGGTCCTAGACTGAATAAATTCAAGTTTTCTTAGTGTGCATCACTGCATAGGATTCATGATATAGGATTAA